GCCCTGATATATATATATATATATATATATATATATATATATAAACATTCTGAAACGTAATTATGCCTTCAGAAAGGTAAAAATTACTAATGGTAACAGGGTTGAAAGTTTTAGGATTCAATTTCAAATTACAAACCTCGTGCTCAAGGCCATGAAAAACTAAAATCTGCTTATCTACATATATATTTTTCTAATATCAATTGTCCACTATTAAAAAACAACAACATGGTGACAGGGTTGACATTTTAAGGCATTTTAAAAGGATAAAGCAATAAAACTTAATATTCTTTAGACAAAACATGTTTAAAACATTAGAAAATATATTTTTATATTATATAATTATATTTATATTTGAATTATATTGCTTAAAATAAACATCAGTTGTTCTCTATACAATATTATGGTAACAGGGTTCATATTTTAAGACACTTTAGAAAGTCATATGGTACGTGTTCAAATATGGTATCATATATGGTGTTCTCGAAACATTATCATGGCAACAGGGTTGATATTTTAAGATGCTTTAAAAAATAAAGCAATAGAATGTATGAGACTTTAGCTTGTCTTTGATGGGTTAATATTTTAAACTATTATATAATTATATGTATATTTCAATTATATTATATTACTTAAAAAATAAATTAACGATTGTTCTCGAAACATTATCATGGTAACAGGGTTGATATTTTAAGATGCTTTAAAAATAGAATGTATGAGACTTAAGCTCGTCTTTGATGGGTTTGCTTTATAAAAGTATTATGATGTCATTATTATTAAATATTATGTTATTATTTATCAAATCGGTAATGGAAAAATATTTACATCATGGTAACAGGGTTGATGCATTCTTTTTAATAACGTAGTCAATTGAAACCTAAAAAACATTAGGACAAAATAAAACAAAATACTAGCTTTATTTCTATGTATTTTTTTCATCAAAATTTGTAAACAAAAAAGTAAACCAAGTAAAATTTGGTAGGGGAAAATAGATCCCCAATTATGCCTATTAATAGAAAATGGGAAAAACTAACACATAATTAACACATATAACCTATTTTGTAGAATGAGTCATATGGTACGTGTTCAAATATGGTATCATATATGGTATTATCATAGTATATTATATATGGTATTAACATAGTACCATGTTAAAAAGGCAATTGTAATTGTAAGTGGTGGTCTTCGGCAGATTTCATTAGCAGCTTCTTTGCATGTCAGCAGTGTTTGCGAGCGTACACTAAACGAGTGAATATAAACGTCTTTCTTTTATACAGTAAATAACTGCAGGCAGATGCCATATGTCACACCTGGATCTTCTCTTAGCCAATCAGAGCTCATCTCCAGCTGACGAACTAATTATCTTCAACCTCCTGTTGCTTTCCTCTAAATATAAGTCACAACAAGACTCAGTATGCGTGTTCTCGCCCGTGCGGGGTGTTTCTGGGCAAGTGTGACAGTAAAATCTTTGTGAGGGTCCACAGGAGCTCATTCACACCTGTGCTGCTGAATAGAGCAGAGTACCTGAGAGAGACCTGCAGCTGTGCGGGTTACTGGCGGGACGGTGGTACCCGTCGGCACACAGGCAGTGAAAAGACCCGTAAGTGTTGATGCACTGGTGACTGCAGGGAAAGTTCTCGGAACATTCGTCCATGTCAATGCAGGTCCTGCCGTCATTTTTCAGACGAAACCCCGGCCAACACATACACTAGAGAAGAAAGTAAAAAACAAAGATTTGTGGGTGAATCTCACAGAACTCTGCCAAGAACATGTATGGGTTATTTCACAAAAAAATATAAATAAATTACCTTTAATATATAATTATATAATTATAACGAATTAAAAACATATAAATATGTTTTTCAATACATTTTACTGAAATGTTGTGAAATGTTATACATTATATTTCAGTTATGTTACATTAATTAACATAAAACAAAAATTATATCAAAAATTATATTATATATGTTAAATATAACCCATGCAGGTTTTCCAATGCTGTGGAATCAGGAGCTCAGAAATTAAATTAAATTAAATTAAATAAAGTTACATAACACAAAACATTATTATTATTATTATTATTATTATTAAAATAAATAAATAATGTTTGTTATATAATATTAATAATATTATTGTATTATTGGTATTTTTATTTTATATTATATGATATTACTAACAAAAAATAAATTGCAATTCATTTAACATATAAATGAATTTTAGAATTTTATATAATTTCTTAATTAAAGTTTCTATTACATTTCTGGGTGAAATATGACCATGACAAATTTTCATGTGATTCACTCTAATACTAAAATATGCATAATTTATTCAAAATGTCTTTTTTATATATTTTAAACTATTTTAATTTATAACTGTATTTGAATAATTTTAGAATTTCTTCATCAAATTTTTGATTTGACTTTAAGGTCAAATATGACAATGCCAAATTTATATAAAATTCACTCTAATACTAATGAGAGACTAATGAACAGGAAGTGAGCAGTGAAACAAAACGATATTTAGTTTCTAGACCATTAGTTTAGTCATTAGTCATTCATTAAAACTATGCTTTATATTTTAATTATGCAGTAACAAAAGCTAAAACAAGCCAGGAAAACAGAGTTCTAGTAAGTTTGGAGCCGCCGTGTCCTTGACTGCCTGTTTTTAAAGTCAGTGTGGCTGTCAAACGACCGGCCCAGTATTCTGAGACATCAGCCAAACGAAGCTGTTCGATCTGCCACTCACTGTGTGTGTGTGTGTGTGTGTGTGTGTGCGTGCGTGTGCATGTCATTTTCCCACTAAAAACACACACTGTTTGTGTATGTGTGTGTCTGCTTTACATGTCAATCCATTGCTGTTCACTACCTCAGCTGACTTTCTCAAGCACTGAATAGCTAGCATACGTGTTTTAGCTCTCTTGTTTATACATTCACCGGTTAAACGTAAACTGACTGGAAATGGGATCATAACATTCTCCACGGATTTAGCACTAAGTTTTATAAACCTCTGTGGAATGTAAAAACATTATTACTTCGAATGATTTGTTTGAGCAGACTTTCCCAATATTGTCGTAGCCGCTAAAGCCTGCTAATGATGTTTAGCGAAGATTTGTTTAAAAAACAAAAACATTCTTTTGTATTCATAGGTCGTAGTTTCATGTGTGGACGTCTTTAGCGCGTAAATTGAACCAGATGCTTAATTCGTAAAAATAAAAACCTTGTACAGCGTGACAAATGTGCTTCATACACACCTTGTATCCCACGGGTAGGTCTTGACAGTCCTGGGTACAGCCGCTGACTTTACGGTTCAAACACTCGTTAACGTGGCAGTTCCTCTCGTCGGATCGGTCGCCGCAGTCATCGTGCTGATTACACACGCTCCCCAGCGGGACGCAGCGACCGTTTGCGCACATGAAAACCGAACCGTTGCACAAACTTTCTAAAACATGGAGCAGCGGGAAGAAAAAGGGGAGACAGAAACCAACAAAACCATCAGATTAGAAACACAGAACTCGAGTGGTTGCTAGGGTGCTCTGGACAGACTGTAGCACGTTTCTATGCCTTACCTCTGGCTGCTATGTGGTTGCTAGGGTGTTCTGAGAGCTTTACAGCCTGTTTGTTATGGTGTTCTTTGCTTTTTCAATATGTTGCAACTGTATGTGGTTGCTAGGGTGTTCTAGGTGGTTTTGGCACTTTGCTGTGGTGTTCTTGGTGGTTTTCAATATGTTGCTACTGTATTTGGTTGCTAGGGTGTTCTAGGTGGTTTTGGCACTTTACTATGGTGTTCTTGGTGGTTTTCAATATGTTGTTACTGTATGTGGTTGCTAGGGTGTTCTGTGAGCTTTTTAGCACGTTTGCTATGGTGTTCTTGGTGGTTTTCAATATGTTGTTACTGTATGTGGTTGCTAGGGTGTTCTGTGAGCTTTTTAGCACATTTGCTATGGTGTTCTTGGTGGTTTTCACTGTGTTGCTGCTGTATGTGGTTGCTAGGGTGTTCTGTGAGCTTTTTAGCACGTTTGCTATGGTGTTCTTGGTGGTTTTCAATATGTTGTTACTGTATGTGGTTGCTAGGGTGTTCTGTGAGCTTTTTAGCACATTTGCTATGGTGTTCTTGGTGGTTTTCAATGTGTTGCTACTGTATGTGGTTGCTAGGGTGTTCTGAGTGCTTTTTAGCATGTTTGCTATGGTGTTCTAGGTGGTTTTGGCACTTTGCTGTGGTGTTCTTGGTGGTTTTCAATATGTTGCTACTGTATTTGGTTGCTAGGGTGTTCTAGGTGGTTTTGGCACTTTACTATGGTGTTCTTGGTGGTTTTCAATGTGTTGCTACTGTATGTGGTTGCTAGGGTGTTCTGAGTACTTTTTAGCATGTTTGCTATGGTGTTCTAGGTGGTTTTGGCACTTTGCTAGGTTCTGGTTGGTTGCTAGAATGTTGCTTAATGGTCCAAGTCAAAAGAGCCTTATTACTAGTTTTAAGTTGTACTGTAAACATGTTGTAAACAACTGAACTGAATTTCCCACCAGAAATATAAACATAAAACTGGTGCGTAATGAGCTTGGCTGGGAACAGTAATGGCATCTGTTAACATTAATGGCATATGTTTGCCCTGGAACCAAACCCTCTCTGCCCAGCTCAGGTGGTACTGGCAGGGGTACAGGACGCAAACGGGGAGGACCAGGTGTTCTGACAAATCCCATATGGGACGGAACCTGGGGACCTGTCAGTCAAATGGGATGCGTGACACATGAGAGGGACTCGCCTGCAGCGGAACACTTTGGGTTGAGTGGCAGCTCGTCTGATTGGTCCAGACAATCGGGGAAGCCGTCACACTCCCATTGGGCTCTCAATAAACACCGCCCATCTGCGCAGCGGAACTCCTCCTCTTTGCATAAACGATATTCTGTTGAAAAAGAGAGAGAAAGAGTATGACAGGGAGAGAATTTAAACAACGGGGCAAAAAGTTCAAGCTGTTACTGTTTCAAATAGGTAGGCATGATATTTCAGTCACCATTATTATTGAGTTTAAACAAGATATATATTCACTGATATAAATTCACAATTGTAAGATGTCACAGTAAAAAAGGTCACAATTATGAGAAATACTCACACTGCAAGACAAAGTCATTTTTTGTGATAAAAACCACAATGGGAGACAAAGTTGCAAATTATGATAAAAGTCACATTGCGTGACAAAACAGCATTGCGAGATATAGTCATATCGCCAAAATGACTGTAATTGCGAGAAATACATTGAGAAGAAAGAATTACATTTTGTGATATAAAAAGTCGAAATGGGACACAAAGTCGCAAATTGTGAGAAACAGTCACATTGCGAGATATAAAACCGCACTGCAAGATAAAAAAATAATAATTGTGAAACAAAATCTAAATTGCGAGAAATGCATTGAGAGATTTAAAGTCATATATTGAAATATAAAGTCACCAGTAGGACAATAAATTAGCAATTATTAAATAAAGAAAAATAATCGCAATTGCTAAAAATAGTCATATTGAGAGAAATACAGATACATTTTGTGTTATAAAGTCACAATGAAAAACAAATTGTGAGAAATAGTCACACTGCAAGATATAAAACCTCACTGGAGACAAAAATATATTTGTGAAAAAAATAAAATCGCAATTGCGAGAAATATGTAAAGAGAAATAAAGTCACAAATGGGACATATGAAGTCACAATTATGATTAAAAAAAAATCTAAATTATGAAAAGTCACACAGATATATAAAGTCAATGATGATATATGAAGTAAATTATGAGAAAAAAAAAAGTGGCATATACGAGAAAAATCAAGTTGTGAGATTTAAAGTCACATTTTGAGATGGGACATATGAAGTTTCAATTATTAGAAAAAAGGCACAATTATTATAGTCAAAATAATACCTTTTACATAAGACAAAAAAGTAGATTTTAGGACCATAGAAATGTTGCACTTTGGCATTATTTCATTGTTAATTAAGCACATTTTCACTTAACTTTACTCACTTAAATTTATGCTGATTTTAAAATTAAAATAACTACTGGAGTATCCTTTCTAAATTACATTTATATTCTTTCATTTATTTATTTTTGTATGCAACTTTTTTTTTTTTTGGTTGGTTGGTTGATTTTCTTTTCGATTTTGTGGTAAAATGCGACCCAGACAGGTTTGTGAGATTCTTCCTCATAGATAACAATAAAAAGTGTGAAGAGTAGCCTATATTTCCATCAATTATTCTGAATGAGCATGTTTATTCTTAGACCTGAGGTATGGAGCATTGAGTTATGCATGCATTTCAACCGCTAAAACATCCAATTAATGTTGTGCCAACACAATTACAACCCATTAAATAGGCCGCAAAGGGATGGTCATTTTCAACAGAAAGTAATGAATCGAGAAACCGGAGCTGCTCACCGCATTCCAGAGACAAAGAGAAATAAAGTCACAAATGGGACATATGAAGTCACAATTATGATAAAAAAAAAATCTAAATTATGAAAAGTCAGATAGACAGATATATAAAGTCAATGATGATATATGAAGTAAATTATGAGAAAAAAAAAGTGGCATATACGAGAAAAATCAAGTTGTGAGATTTAAAGTCACATTTTGAGATGGGACATATGAAGTTTCAATTATTAGAAAAAAGGCACAATTATTATAGTCAAAATAATACCTTTTACATAAGACAAAAAAGTAGATTTTAGGACCATAGAAATGTTGCACTTTGGCATTATTTCATTGTTAATTAAGCACATTTTCACTTAACTTTACTCACTTAAATTTATGCTGATTTTAAAATTAAAATAACTACTGGAGTATCCTTTCTAAATTACATTTATATTCTTTCATTTATTTATTTTTGTATGCAACTTTTTTTTTTTTTGGTTGGTTGGTTGATTTTCTTTTCGATTTTGTGGTAAAATGCGACCCAGACAGGTTTGTGAGATTCTTCCTCATAGATAACAATAAAAAGTGTGAAGAGTAGCCTATATTTCCATCAATTATTCTGAATGAGCATGTTTATTCTTAGACCTGAGGTATGGAGCATTGAGTTATGCATGCATTTCAACCGCTAAAACATCCAATTAATGTTGTGCCAACACAATTACAACCCATTAAATAGGCCGCAAAGGGATGGTCATTTTCAACAGAAAGTAATGAATCGAGAAACCGGAGCTGCTCACCGCATTCCAGAGACTCGTCAGAACCGTCCCCGCAGTCGTCGTCATGGTCACACACGAAACGCCGCGGGACGCAGTTCTGGTTCCGGCACTGGAACGTGCTCTCGGTGCACGTGTTGTTCGGAGCTTATTAAAGAGAGGAACAGGAACAAACAGGACGTTAGGTATGTGTTAGGATAAAAGGAGTAGCACATAACAGACACCTGAGACTTGTCTCAAATCCCCAATTATTTTAGTTGTGGCTCTGAAAATTCAGGAACAGCAGATAAAAAGAAGATATTTTGGGTAAATTTGGCACCTTATTATCCAACAGTGGTGTTAACAGTGTTCACTGTTTCAGATTGCGAATTTTAAACTTTTAAACATAAACATAAGTAACATGAATCCAGTCAAATATGTCCAAACCTTTGACTGATGCATTCATTTACTAGCTTCATTACTATTGCGAAAAGCAGCAATTACGTTACCACACTGCAGTTTGGGGTGAAAACAGGAACAGGAAGTTGCTGGTTTTGTGAAAGGAAATATTATGTTTGAAATTACCACAGCCAGCTACCGCTAGTTCATCGCTACCATCGGGACAATCTCTCTCCCCGTCACATAACCAGTTTCTGGGTACGCAAGCGTACGATCCTGGGCAACTGAACAAACCGGGGGCGCATGTTGCCGAACCTGTCGAGAAAAAAAGAGATTGAGCATCGCAATCTCAAGCCAACATGCTGCACGATGTCATTAATGAATATTCATGTTTAAAAAAAAATAAATAAAACTTTCTCGAAATAATTGAAAAAGTTCAAGCATTGTCTTGAGAACTTGTTTAACAATCTGTTTGTGTTTGACCTTTGAGAAACCTGAGTTTTTTTTTTTTCCAGAGCCCATTTGTTAGGAGCACAGCGTGGCCATAAATTCGCAACTATGATGAAACCGCAGGCCAATTTTTCTTCCCGCCTCTTTCGTGTTGATTTATATCCTTCCTCTCAGAGGAAGTCTTTCATTGTGTGGCCTAAATGCAAATACGTGCTTCAGAGTTTTACCGCAAATTTCCTCGCTTTCGTCCAATCCGTCACCGCAGTCGTCCTCCCCGTCACAGAGCCACTGTTTGGCGATGCACTTGTTTTTCGAGCAGGCGAACTGATTCCAAAGGCACGATGAATCTAGAGGGAAAAGTTTGAACTTTGAAAATAAACCCACGGGAGGCAGTACTGACATTTAAGGAATGGTACAAACAAAAATGTTGATTCTTTCATCATTTATGTTGTTTTAAACCACTTTGGCTTTAGTTCTTTCATAGAACACAAATGTTCACACTGCTCCTTTTTCCAAATATAAAGGGATAAATAGAAATACAAAGTGTGAACATTTTATCTTGTGGTCCAGGAAAGAAAAAGTCATACAGGTTTGGAAAGACATAAAGGTGAATAAATAATGAGAGAATTTTCATTTTGGCAGGAAAACTACAAAGTAAATAAACCCATATAATAACCAAAATAAAACATGTAAAAAAATATATAATTATATATTAAGAAATAATTAAGAAAAGAGTCATATACAGGTTTGAAAAGAGAGTCAATAAATAATTACAGAATTTTCATTTTGGCAGGAAAACTATGAAAAAGAACATGTATACCCTATAATAATTCAAAATGAAAGAGTAAACTATGAAAGTAATCTATGAAATTACTTTTACTTTATTTCTTCTATAGAACACACAATATGGTATTTTGGAAATTTCCACGCTGCTCTAAAAGACAAAGTATATATATATATATAAAAAAAAGTTTTTTTTTTGTTTGTTTGGTTTTTTTTGGGCGGGAAAACTAAGAAAAGTTGTATTTATACCTTAATATAGCCAAAATAAAAGACAAAAAAATGTTCAAAATATTTAATGTTGTGGTCCAGAGAACAAAAGTCATACAGGTTTGGAACAACATGAGGATAAATAAATGATAACAGAATTTAAATTTTGGCAGGAAAACTAAGAAAATTAAATTTGTAAACTGTTACAACCAAAATAAAACATAAAAAAAATCTAAATATGTTATGTTGTGTTCCAAGAAAGAAAAAGCCATATGGGTTTGAAATGACATGAATTATATCCTATAATAAGCAAAATGAAAGTGAATACACTTCAATAGTTATAAGTTTGCCTTTGAAAGCCAAATTGAGTGCAATATCTGAGGAAAGTGGCATCTAAAAGCCCTCTTCGCCCTTGTTGGGATTAGAGATTCAACTTTGGAAGGCGATCGTGCTAGCAAGCACTTTTAAAGTAATTGTCCACTTGCATACGCACGCGAGCCACGAAAGCTGCGAGCAAATATGCCCCTATCAGCAGTCTGAAAGTTTGTTTGCTTGCGTTTGCCATGGATTTTGTGATATCTCTGCAAAGCCACCGGGGGCTGGGACAGAGAGAACAAGGTCACCAAGAGAAAGGTTTTAAAAAGTGACACCAAAAGGGCTGAAGACAACGAAAGCGAAGAGGATGAATAGGTAAATGAGGGTCATTCTTCAAAACCTGCCTTAGGGGAAGTCTCAAAAGAACAAATAACCAAAATGAAAGGTGAAAAAGCACCGGCACATTCGTCAAGATCAAGGACACGGAAACAAATCCATATTACTTGTGATTTTGGGTCAGTGACTACGAGGTCGCTGCGCGGTCCAGAGTTGTGCTGGCTTCACGGGAGCTTCAGTCGCAGATCAGAGTTCTTGCTCAGAATAAGACGCTTTGAAGCGGAACCAAAAGGATTCCCGACACGGGGTCGGGACAGAAGCAAAGCAAAGATTGGTCGCAGCAGGAAAGCAGAACTTCCTAGAACTTCCTACTCTACAGTTCTGCTCACTTTAGAGGTACATCACAAGGGAAACATGAATGTCGATAAGATTAATAATTATACAACACATTATAGCAAGATGTGGCTGGAATGACCCTTCACCTAAAGTTATACAGTTGTTCAAGTAACTTTCTTTAAAAATATAATGAAATTCATCTAAATATCCCCTGTAAGCATATCCTGAAATTGCAAGAAATAATTTATAATAATATAAGTCATCATAATTATGAGAAACAGTCGCAATGTGAGATATAAAGCAGCGTTGTGAGATTATATAGTCAAATTGCGAGATATAGTAGCTACACTAAAAAAGCGGGAGATAAAAAGTCGCAAATTGTGAGAAATAAAGTCATAATTATGAGAAATAAAGTCATATTGTGAGATACAAAGCAGAATCGCGAGATATATAGACATATTGTGAGATATAGTAACAATTAAGTCACAATTAAGAGAAATAAAGTCACATAGCAAGACTTAAAGTCACCATAGGAAATATAAGTCCCAAATTGTGAGAAATAAATTCAAAAATCATATTGCGAGATATAAAGCAGAATTGCTATATATATAGACATACTGTGATATAGAGTAGCAATACTGGGGAAAAAAAAATTCACTATGACAAGAAATAAAGTCACATTGCGAGACTTAAAGCCGCCGTGGAATATATAAAGCCACAAATTGTAAGAAATAAGAAATGATCGCATTACAAGATTTAAAGCACTGCAAGATATATAGTCATATTGTAAGATATAGCAATTTTACAAAGAAAAAAAAAACATTGGTATAAAAAGAAATAAAGACAGATATAAAGTCACCATGGGATACTTAAATTAGCAAATTGCAAAAAATAAAGAGGAATAAAGTCACATTATGAAATATAAAGCAGTATTTCAAGATATATAGTCATATTGTCAGATACAGTAGCAATTGACAATGTCACTACAATAAATTAAGTCACACTGTGAGATTTAAAGTCACATTTTCAGTTAAATTCAAAATGGCTATAACAAGAAATAAAGTCACATTGCGAGACTTAAAGTCACCACTGAAGACATAATGTCATAAATTGTGAGAAATAATGTCATAATTATGAGAAATAGTCGCATTACGAGATATAAAGCAGCACTGCAAGATATACAGTCAAATTGTGGGATATAGCAATTCTACAAAAAAAATTACGACACATTGTGAGTCACATTTTCAGATATAAAGTCACCACAGGAGATGTATATTCACAAATTGAGAAAAATAAAGAGGAATAAAGTTGCACTGTGAGATAATGCAGCACTGCAAGATATATAGTCATACTGCAAGATATAGTAGCAATTTTAAAAGAAAATGTTGCTATAACGAGAAATAAAGTCACACTGCAAGATTTAAAGTTACATTTTCAGTTATAAAGTCACTATGGGAGATATAAATTTGCAAACTGTGAGCAATAAAGTCATAATTACAGAAATAATATTGCATTGCAAGATATAAAGCAGCACTGCGAGATAAATAGACATAATATGAGATATAGTACCAATTCTGGAAAAAAATATAACGCTATAACGAGAAATAAAGTCACATTGCGCAATTTAAAGTCACCATGGTAGCCAAAAAGTTACAAATTGTAAGAAATAAAATCATAATTAATGAGAAATAGTCACATTAAAATATAAAGCAGAATTGTGAGACATAACAGCAATTCCAAAAAACAGTCTCTATAACGAGAAATAAAGTCACATGCAAGATTTCAAATCACATTTTGAGACATGAAGTCACCATGGGGGATATACATTTGAAGAAATAATTATGTGAAATACAGTAACATTGCGACATATAATGCAGCATTGCGAGAATTCTAAAAAATAAATTACAAGAAAAAAAGTGACATTTTAAAATGCAAAGTCACAAATGAGACATATAAACTCGCAATTATAAGGAAAAAGTTGCAATTGTGAGAATATAATTAGCTTTTTTGTTTTTACCCTGAAGTGGAAATGAGCTTCAATAAAATGCAATCACATAAAAGTACGAGCTTATAAGACTTCTACAATAATTTGTCTGGAATTTGAAATAACTTTTAGATAAAAGCGTAACTGTAACTCTCTAAAGCCAGGAATGTCAAGCAGCTAAACTCTCACGTTTAGCACTTACCACATACTAGCCGTGACAAGTGGATCAATAGAGCAAAATAGCACTTACGTTCTAATGTAGATGATGGTGCGTGACTTGAAGATAAATAAAGTCTTCAGACGTGAATATATTCATTAGGATGACATATAGAGCACACAATGTGTCCGGCAGGCCTGATCAGTTGAAGAATGTAGAAAGGTGGCGCTCACCGCATTGAAATTCATCCGCTCCGTTCTCGCAGTCTTTCTGTCCATCGCACAACCAGACGCTGGAGATGCAGTTTCCACTGGGACACGCAAAATGGCCGTCCTCACATGTATGAACTGAAGAAGCTGGGAGAAATGCCAAAATGAAGAAAATGAGGGTTAAGAGGAGCCTGTAGAAAAGCATCTGAAGTTCTTACTTTCAACAATTACCAAAGGGTTTGCTAGGTTCACCACTATTTTGAGAAAATAAAAAGGATGGGAACATGCTGTAAACAAATCAATTGTATGACCTCTAAATGTCTACCTCAGCTTCAGTTATCCAATTTGTTATCTGTGGTTTTGTATTTGCGTTTGGATTCTGACTTGCGTATCAAGGTTGTTTTAAACCTGCAGCATCTCCTTGAGTAAAAGAACAGGAAACATCTGAGTTTTTGTTTTCTACAGGATAGGAGCGACCACAGCAGAGGTCAGGAGCTGAATCCTCTTCATATTTCTATTAAAGGTTTGTGCTAATTTCTGGAGGAATCTTCTGCAGTTGAGTTTTTAAAAGGACATAAACATTTTCAGAGAATCAGTGCTTTAGCTAACAATCACACATTAGTATTATGTATTTCTGCCTTCAAGACTTCCAGGAAAGTTCCTATGTAGAAGTTTTGAAATCATAAATGGGTGTTTACAGGAACTTTTATGTCCCTAGGCATTGATTTTCATTACAACATTTTTTTTTCTTTGCTGTGTAAAGACTCTAAAACTGTCGAAGAAAACAGTTTAATATGGTATCATTCATATGATACTTTTCCTTTATATATTATTTTGTTTTACCGTTTTTTCCAAGACCAAGATTTTTTTTCCAAGAAGGTTAAATCTTAAAATATCAAAGTAAAATAAAAAAACTATTTTTTAACTATGATAATTAAAGTAAAAGTGAAACACATAAACGTATAGACATGTATAACAAATATACATGGATACAAATACACGTGAATATATATTCTGTCATCAACACATAAAATGGTCATAATCGAACCTGTAGTGAAATAAAAAAATAAACATTTTGTTGTTGTCAAATCAAAATTATTATAGGGATTTATTTATTTATTTATTTCAGTTGATAATTAATAACCCTGAAAAAAATCTGCCACATGTTGCATTGACTTTATATATTATTATTGTGTAAATTAATAAATTAAGTTAATAAATTATCATTTACAATTAAAATTCAATTGTGATCATTAAAAGGTCTGTGTAAAAATTATTATATTAAAAAATAATAATTGTGACTTGTTGATGCTACAGTTTCATTTACACACATTCTGTGTGTATTTTTATGTATATACTATACTATGTCAGAATGTGAATACATTTTCATTTACATTTAGTCATTTAGCAGCGACTATATGAATGAATGAATGAATGAAACTGTAGCATCAACAAGTCACAATAAAAAATTCACACATGATCATTAGCAACCCGCTTCTAACACAATTCCTTCATTGACATTCCCTAACTTGCAGATTTCAAAGACAAATCCAACTTTACAACTTTTAATTACAGCATTGCGATGACGTTTATACGCGGTCAGCTCATAAATTCTGACAGGACTGTAAAGTTCCGCAAAAAAATTCTACACACTCATCGACTTCCAGAGTTCTGTTTCACTCAGCCACAAGGACTTATTAAGTCACTAAATATTCTCAGTAGGTCCTGGGCTTTCTACATATATCATAAATATCTAAGTATAATACTGTCAAATATTTGGCAGGACTCAGTGCGATTGAGTCAAAAAAGTCCACATTTCACAGCCTCATAAAAGGCTCTGGCGATGTGAGTCGTCACTGCACCGCAATGCAAACTTTGTAAAAATTCCCTTTGTTCCCAGTACTATTTTCCATTCTTAACGTGACAACATTGTACTTTGAACACAAACAAACAAGAGAAAGACAGTCCGGGGGAGAGAATGCAAATGCATTTCTACCGTGGCAGTGTATTTCGTCTGCGTAATCCCCACAGTCGTTGGCTCCATCACAGATCCAGGAGGGATGAACACACAGCGACGTGGAATTGCAGCTTAGAAATCTCTCACTGTTGCTGGCATGAAAACCCAATCTGTAGTATTCCATGCAGTCTGTGCTATCTGGAAACAGAGAGGACAATGAGACTTATGTTTCACACGTTAAGTGACACACAAACACACACCTCCAGAAGTGCGAACGGGCTAGCGCCTTTACACATGCTAATCTTACTACAGCTTTTCTCGTCCGATGCGTCAGCGCAATCGATGATCTGATTACACCAGGATGATGCAGGAATACAGGCACCGTCTGCACAACGTCGCTCAGAGGACGAACACGAGGAATCTGGAACCAGAAGGAAAAAAAGCAGATTAACTAGATACACCTTAAAGCATACAAAAACAATTTAAATGAAGTCAAACTACTTTTAAGAAAACCAAAATGCTTTAAATAAAGTCAGACCACTTTTAAGCAAATCAAAACGCTTTATATCAAATCATTTTAAAGCAAACCAAAATGCTTTGAATAAGGTTAGACCACTTTAAAGGGGTCATATGATGCGATTTCAATTTTTCCTTTCTCTTTGAAGTGTTACAAGCTCTTGGTGCATAAAGAAGATCTGTAAAGTTGCAAAGTCTAAAGTCTCAAATCCAAAGAGATATTATTTATAAAAGTTAAGGGCCAACCACGCCTACCTAAAACGGCTCGTTCTAACACGCCCCCACGATTTGCATAACGCCGCCCAAATATTTACATAACGCCGCCCAAATGTTCACGCAAAAAAAGAAGGCGTAACTTTTATTCTCGATGTAGTTTTGTTGTTTCCGCCGCCATGTCATAAAGATGCTGTGTGCTTCGTTGTGAAAGCGAAACTACTTTGTTTGGTCTTCCAAAAGAGAACGATATCTGCTTCGTCATGCCTGGAGCTGATCCGTGCTGGTCGCTGAAGAAATACATCAACTTCGCGCTGTGGAACGCCGGATCGGCTTTCACCGTGGACAAAGCAGAGTCCAGCCCGGGGTCGTCACATGTCCTTCCGGACGCTCCTTCGTCGAAATCACCGGCCGCGCCGTTCTCAAGCCCGCCGCCTCTGCTCACTCAAGCC